ATAGCCACCGCAGCTTACTCCGAGACCGATTCCGATTCCTCCTGGGACAAATTTGTAGGTGCTTTCTTGAATTCTCTCGTTTTCGTCGCTGCAATCACTCTCGCAACATTCGTTCTCGTGCTTCTCTTTTATCTCAGATGCGTTAGATTCCTTAAATTCTACATGGGTTTCTCAGCTTTCATCGTTTTAGGCAACCTAGGTGGAGAAATATTTGTCTTATTGATCGATCGTTTCAGATTCCCGATCGATTCCGTCACTTTTCTGATCCTTCTCTTCAATTTCTCCGTCGTTGGTGTATTCGCTGTGTTCATGTCGAAATTCTCGATTTTGATCACTCAAGGCTACTTGGTTTTGATTGGTGTCTTAGTTGCTTACTTTTTCACTCTGTTGCCTGAATGGACAACTTGGGTACTTCTTGTCGCTTTGGCAGTCTACGACATTGCTGCTGTTCTTTTACCTGTTGGTCCATTACGTCTTCTTGTGGAAATGGCTATATCTAGAGACGAAGATATCCCGGCTTTGGTCTACGAAGCGAGACCTGTTATCCGAAATGACTCTCGTTTGGTTCAGAGGAGAGTTTGGAGAGAACCGAGGTCTAGCCAGAATGATTCCAATGACATTGAGAACGCTAATCAAGACGAAGTAAGAGTGGTTAGAGCAGAAGCAGAAGAAGAACATGTGGGTTCGAGGGAAAGATTGGAGATATCTGTGCCGTTGATTGATCGTAGACCTGATCAGGCTGAGAATTCAGAGACTTTTCTTGAAGGAATTGGGTTGGGATCATCAGGTGCTATCAAGTTAGGGCTTGGGGATTTCATCTTCTATAGTGTTTTGGTTGGAAGAGCTGCAATGTATGATTTGATGACGGTTTACGCTTGTTACCTGGCGATCATAGCCGGTTTGGGGATCACATTGATGCTCTTGTCTGTGTATCAAAAGGCTTTACCGGCTCTTCCTGTATCGATCATGTTAGGCGTTGTGTTTTACTTTCTGGCGCGGTACTTACTCGAAGTTTTCATTGTGCAGTGTTCTTCAAACCTTGTGATGTTCTAAGAGTATCGAAAGTGAAAGGGTGCTTTTGATGTAAACTTTTGAGTATAGTTTCATTTATTTTGTCAACATAACTGTGTTGGCTTTGATTGATTGAACCATGATATTGCGTTCGTCCCCGACATAAGTTCAAATCAAGTTCTTTTCCAATTATCCAACTCCGGGGAGGTATGGAGTGTTMCGATAAAAGTTTTAAAATCCGAAATTACTAATCCCAAGTACAAGCAAGGAGTAGTAATTAGGGTATCGATCAAGGAGTTAGAATAACACACTAATAATGCAAACAATTGATTAATCTAAGCTAAATAATGTTTTTGGTTTTCAAATCCTAATTATGCAATTAAAATAAGTGAAACAACCAAATCAAAATGCAAAATAAAGATAAACAAGACTACAATGCTAAAAATGAACTAAACAAGAACTAAACAAACCATAACTAAGCATAAACAATATCAAATACAAAAAGTTAACAAAAAGTCAACCGTAAAATCAACAACTAAAAACTTGATCAAATATGGGAAAACATGGGCTTTGGGCAAAGCAATTGACTTGGGATGCTTAATGACTTACTAATGATGCTATGACTAACAATTCAAACTCAATTCCATGGCATGAATC